TTTAGTTGTAGATGGACACAATACCTTTATTTTACTTATTTATTTTTATGTGCTGCTGAGGATGGAACCCAGTGCCTCACACCTGCAAGACAAATAAATACTCTACCAGTGAGCTACTGAGCTACAGCCCCAGTCCATGCCCCACCCACTTTTGTATTTTATTTAGAGACAGGGTCTCAAATAGTTGCTTAGGGCAATTTAGCAATTGCTAAATTGCTGAGGCTGGCTTTGAACTCTTCATCCTCCTGCTTCAGCCTTCTGAGCAACTGGGATTAAAGGTGTGCACCACCACACCAGTAGGCTTAATTGCTTTTTGAGGCCGTAGGGAAGAATCTGTTTCTTTGTTATTTTAAATTTTTAGAGGTCTCCCACATTCCTTGGTTTGTGTCACAGCCAGCGATCCCATCACTATGACCTCTGCTTGAATCATTGCACCTCCTCTGATTCTTTCTCCTTTTCATTTATTTTTTAAAATATTTTTTAGTTATAGATGGACACAATACCTTTATTTTATTTATTTATTTTTATGTGGTGCTGAGGATTGAACCCAGGGCCTCACATGTGTTGGGCAAGTGCTCTACCACTGAGCCACAGCCCCAGCCCTCTCCTTTTCATTTATAAAGAACATTATGAATTCTTTGGACCCTGTGTGGTAGTTTGGTAAAGAATTTCTTTGTAAGAGCCTTAACTTGATCATGTCTATGAAGTCCATTTTGTTGTGTAAGGGAACATATTCACAGGTTCTGGGCTTAGGATAGGAACATCTTTGGAAGGCTATTACTCTGCCTACCACAGTGTACCTGTTCTCTTCACAATTTCAAGCCCAAGCAAACAATTAGCAGGTGAGACAGAAGAACCTTGAACAATCCTGTACTAGAGCACACATCTGAGCTATGATTACCCATTTACTGGACCACACATGAATGGCAACAAACAACTATTAGGAACTGAGAGTAACCTCCGAAAGGGATCTCAGTTCTGACTGTGGTGGTATGATGTCAGGCCATTGACTTTACTGTTATAAGGATCAATTTTCTCATGTGTAAA